TGCAGTTTGGCCAGGGCCAGGTTTGAACTCGCCACCCTCAGTATTTGGGGCTGGTGCCCTACTCACCGAGCCACAGGCACCACCCAATGTTTTTGTTTTTTAATCTCTCAAGATGTGTAAGGCTTGTTTACTGGATTCCACTTACCTCAGAGGATAAACAAATTTTCTTTTTAGGGCAGGAAAGGCAATGATTTCATTTCTCTAATTCTGTAGTTAATGTGGGCATGTATAGCTGGAATAGAGAGATGTAATCTGGTGGTGGTTAAGAAAATATGCTTATTGACATTTCTGTTGATGAAGACTTTGAATAAAGAGCAATCCTTTCTTACTGGTCTTGCTGTGCTTGTCAGAACAGTTCTTTTTCTTAAGGCTCATCCTTCCAGATGGTGGGCTCCAGAAGGAGTCTCCCAGTGGGATCCTTCTTCAAGATGTGGATTCAGATGCCTTTAGGACATGGTCAACTGCCCTTAGGGTGTGGAGGACCATTCAGGGTTCTGGTTTTATGGTCTAGACCTGTCATCTATACCTGCTAGAAGTACCTCAAGAGGTAAAGCAGGTTCAGATTTCATCCACATACAAGTCTAAAGTGTACAGGAAGGTCATAGGAATTATTTGAGAGAGGAGTCTTAGGAAGACCTCTGGAGACATCCCACATTCTCAAACCAAGGAACAGTCAACCAGTAAGAGAGAGACAGCCAACAAGACACTGAAACATAAGAAAAACAGAGTGTGAGAGATAGGGAGAGAGATTGTCTGCATAGAGCAGGTCACTTCCTCTCCTCTTTAAAATCCATCAAGTTTTCCATTATACCTAGAATAAAACTCAAAGCCCTTCCCCAAGCCTTCTCCTCCCTACGTCTCATTCCTTAGACCCATTAGGCTGGCTTACCTCAGAACTCTAACACATGCTCTAATACTCTCAGATCTTCTCATGACCTGAGGCACCCCACCTCCCATTCAGTCTCTGCTCCAGGATTACCTCCTCAGAGAGGCCTTCTCTGGCATGTCAGGTTGAGACAGTTCCCACACAGGATAGCAGGAAGCAAAATCCCAGTGCTCTCCGCAATGTCCTACCACCAAAGACCCTTCCTCATGACCTCTCCATGGATTTGGGGGTTTTCTTGCTTTTCCCTCATTAGCATAGATGAGCCTGGTCACCATACTGAGGTGATCTAATTCCAGAACACAGATACCTGCTTCTTTGGCCTGAAAACCTGATTTCAGGTTAGGTAGGTTCTTCTCAGGTTGATGGAATGTTGAAAAGTGCTCCTGTAGCAGGAAACCGATGCAGACAGAAGACTCCAGGCACCAGTTAATTAGAGGAAGCAGGTTTATTCGGCCGGGGGTACTCAGAACACCAGCGTGTTCCCCAAAACCAAGCCCCCCAACTCAATCTCTTGCCTCTCTTTTATCCACCTTTCAGGGTGGGAGAGGGTCATAAGACAGAGAAACATGACATCATCCTCAAGGTCCCGGGCTCAAGGGGGAAGGTCAGATTCACCCTCGTCCTTGAGACCGGTCGGACCACCTGCCCCAAAGGCAATAGATACCCAAGGAAGTTACTGGATTACAATCTAGGCCCCAAGTATGTCAGGGGAGAAACACGCAGACAGCAGAAATGCCTGCGGCTTGGCTGAGGCCTATACAGAGCGGCTAGGACAGATAGATTCTTTTAGTTCTGCTTTTATTTTCTTGCCTCACTCCCATACACCAAGCTGGGAACTGGCAGCCAAATAGGTGAAGGAAATTGGCAACTAGAAGGTGTTTTAGTAGGAACATGCCCAGAGGAACAAACTCCCCTAGAATATGTGGATTGAAGGCAGAGAGGCTGTGGTTGAACAGAAGGTCACCTGAGGGTATGGTATGAGGAAAAAACAAGGGCAGCCAAGATAATATTGAAGGGTAAGGGGAAAAAAGATTGAAAATTGAGAGAGCAAGGTAGCCTCCATTGATGTGAGTTCATTTTTCTGATGTAAATACAGTAGTGGAGTCAAAGTAGAGAACTGGAGAGGCCTGCAATGTGGAAGAGAAGATTCGAGATAGATCGGAAGGAAGGGTGAGGACTGCACACTGGAGCTGCTGAAAGGAAGGCATGTTCCACCAGAACCCAAGACCTCTCCAGGTTGGGATGAGGTAACTGCTCTCGCATCAGAGATTAAAGCTTCTGTCTATAAAACAAGTGCTATAGTTGGAATGTGTCCCCCAAAATTCATGTTCTGGACGCTTGATCCCCAATGTGACAATGTTAGGAGATGGTACTTTTGAGAGGTGAATGGGAGTGGGTTCCTTATTTTTATAAGGATGAATTCAGCCTCCATTTGTCTGTCTCTCACCATCTCTTTGCCCTTCCTCCATGTTGTGATGTAGTTAGAAGGCCCTCCCTCTATGCTACTGTCTTGATCTAGGACTTTCTGGCCTCCAGAGTGATGAAAAAATAAATTTCTGTTCTCTGTAATTAGTCTGTATAGCAGCACAAAACAAAGAAGACAAACAATGAGCCAGGCGTGGTGGCTCACACCTACAATCCTAGCACTCTAGGAGGCCGAGGCAGGTGGATTGCTTGAGCTCACAAGTTAAAGACCAGCCTGAGCAAAAGCGAGACTCCCCATCTCTACTAAAAACAGAAAAACTGAGGCAAGAGGATTGATTAAACCCTAGTTGGAGGTTACTGTGAGCTATGACGCCACAGCACTCTACCCAGGGGGACAACTTGAGACTCTGTCTCAAAAACAACGATGTGAAGAGAAATAAAAATAGAGATAACAAATGAACAGTGTTTGTGCCCAAATTAGGTCCACAATTCCTATCTGAACAATAAGATTCCAACACCTTAAGATTTGGGTAGTACATCTGGCATCAAAAATTGAGTGCAATTGCTATCAGGCTAGAGTTTCTTTTTCCTTTTCCACTTTCTCTCTCTCTTTCTTTCATTCTGACCAACCTCCCTCCCTCCTTTCCTTTTTTTTTCTGAGACCAAGTCTTGCTCTGTCACAGAAGCTACAGTGCCATGGTATCAGCCTATCTCACAGAAAATGCAGATTCCTGGCATGAAGCAATCTTCCTGCTTCCGCCTCCCCAGTAGCTGCAACTACGTAATGCCCAGCTAATTTTTTTATTTTTATTTATTTATTTATTTGCAGTTTTTGGCCAGGGCCAAGTTTAAACCCGCCACCTCCGGTATATGGGGCCGGTGCCCTACTCCTTGAGCCACAGGCGCCTCCCAAATTTTTCTATTTTTAGTACAGACAAGGACTCACTCTTGTTCAGGCTTATCTGAACTCCTGGCTTTGAGGGATCCTCCCACCTTCACCTCCCAGAGAGCTAGGAATACAGGCATGAGCCAATACACCCAGCCCAGAGTTTTCTTATATTGTACTTAGCTCATTATTTACATGTATCGCTGCAGAAGTATGTGCGTGTTGGATTACCAGTTCCTACTCCAGATCTTGTGATAGGACTTACATAAGAGTATACAGGATATGCATGGCTATAACTTCTCTGAAATCTTAGCCTGAACTCCAAAGCAGATATGGCCCTAATAATACCGGAACTTTGTCTTCTCTCCTGGCTGGCTCACCAAATCTGATACCAGAATTTCAGGTTCTTGGTCTCCGCGAAGAATAAATCGACAGACCACATGATCAGTGGTAAGTCAGGATTTATTTGTAGAAACAAAAACTACAACTACCAAAAAACCAAACCTCCTGGCAGAGAGAACCCAGGAGGGGAACAAGCTCTCCTGCTCCCCCTTTGAGGTCTGTCCTCAGGCTCTCTGTTCAGGGGCTTATATAGTGGCAGGGGGGTTGTTTTGCCTGAACTCAAGGTTGACTTTTAGGGAGGGGGTACTCACCAGTTACAGCCAGCTGTCTGATGAGCTCTCAGGCCTTGGAAACTTACATGAAATTGACCAGCCATTAGTCCTCCAGTCAGCGCCAGTGTCTCACCTGCAGGTGTCTGCGCTTCAAGCCCTTCCAGCAAGCTGCTTCTTCCATCTGCAGCGGCATCAAAACCTCCGCTAAGGCAGCAGGTCATGGTGCCACCTTGTCCTGCATCACTAACAGCCTGTGAAGCTGTATTTGAGGGAGTTATTCTGCTCAGCAGAAAAAGAAGCTGTGCGCTGCCTTGGTCCTTGGCACATTTCCCTTCTCATTCAGATAGGTAAGTAGCTCAGTCAGTGCAGGCACATTTGTGGATGGAAAGAACTGGGGGCCCTGAAGGAAGGGAGCAGGTTGAGGTATTATGGGCCCTTTCCTTCCAGGCAGGGAAACCATCCCACATACAGAGATGGAGCACAATGGGGGGGGGGGTGTGTGTCTGTCTCCACACCGTGAGAGGCGGGAGGAGGGTGGGTGGGGGGGGGGGTGTGTGTCTCTTCATTCCTCTGTTGCAGGAAAATGAGGTCCAAGGAGAGAAAGAGCACCCAAACACCTTGTTTAGAAGAGGAAAGGCTTTATTTATTGGCCAGGAGCTTACAGCACAGAAGAATCCCAAATTGCCGGGCTCCCCGACTGGCTTGGTCTTTCCCTTTTTATCGACAGTCAAAAAGTTCCACCCCATAGGTACCCTTCTCATTTGCCAGTTTGAATCAAGCAGGAGGTGCTAGTCCGGCCCCTACAGAATTACAAGATTTCACAGAACTTGGAAATTTCTGAGTTCCAGGAAGTTTACAAATTCCCAAGAACTGAGTCACCATAGAGAGGACCCTGCAGGTGTATCCTTGTGGTCTCCTTGAGAAGACCTGTCCTCCAAAACCTCACCCTTCTTGGGTATCCTCTCTCACCTCCACAACCCTAGCCTCAAGCAAAATGCAGAACACAGGTTAGAAACCGAAAGCACAAAAGCACCTTGAGTTAGGTTTGTAGTGCATTGATTAATTTATGCTTCCTCCATTCCTAGATCAAATTTCTGTCAGGGGTCCACATGCAGCCTCAGAAGATCCCGTCTGGAGGGAGACTGTGGTGAACCCAAGATCTCCCAAGTAAGTGCACTAACTGCGACAAGAATTAAGAATGTGTACACACTCTGTGAGAGCAGCTACTAGGGAACTCGACCGGGTTCCCCAGCCAGGCCTGCAAGGCTTAGTGGGAGGGAGCAGGCCTCAGGAAGGCCGGGCCCTTCCTCATTTCCAGCATCAGAAGCCGCAACCGCACTGTGCAGCAGCGGGGCTGGACCCTGCGCTCTCCCCCGGCTCCGCCACTTCCGCTTCCGGACGGTGGGCGGGGCTTCCGGCCGGCCGAGGCGAGGCTTTCGGCTGTCAGACGCTGCCGGCCCGGAAGAGGCAGCGGCGGCGCGGAGACTGCGGGGCGGGCCATGGCGGCGAACCTGAGCCGGAACGGGCCGGCGCTGCAGGAGGCCTACGGGCGAGTGGTCACCGAGAAGTCCCCAATCAACTGGTGGGCTGCGAGGCGGGCCGGAGGGTGGGCCGGGGGTCGCCTCTGGGGGAGGGTCTGTCGGGGCGAGCTGGGGGCGGGGGAGATGGGGCGTGCGAGCGCTAAGTAGCGCCGCCGCAGGCAGTCCAGGACTCACCAGTTTGCCTGCCCCACACCGCAGCGAGGATGCTGTCCCATTCTTGTCATTCCTTGCCCTGCATGGACAGGTTAAATCCGTCTTAGAGGGACCCAGTGAGCCCCCAGACCCTCCCCGTGCTTCTGGCCACCCAGTGTGGCTCTGCGGGTTTCCATGTTGTATTCTCGGCCTGGTTGTACGTGCTGCCTCACCAGGTTTTTTCTAGCTCTGGAATAAGGGGTCCTACATAGCCCTCCCTGAGAAGGTAGAAGCCACGCCCAGTTTCTTCCAAACACTATATTCAGGGATGGGCCTTTGGGAGAGGTCTGGCAGCCTGGCTGGCCAGGTGAAGCTTCAGACAAAGAGGTCAGGAGTCCGGATCCCTCTTTGTCTGTGAATGCGAACTTCAGAACTTCCATTTCTCCAAGAAGAGTACTTCTTCTGAGCCATTGAAAGATGTGTGGAAGTAGGATGCTGGCTATTTGGAAAAAGATCTCATCTTTTCTCCAGCACCCAAGATCTACCCTATGAGGCTATAAGTGATAGAATCTCATCTTACAGTTGGTGGGGCTTTACAGTACTGGAAACCTGGATCTGAAGTGTCTGGCATAACCCCGGGCAACTCCCACACACGGTCAGCTCTCTGGTCTGCACATATGCACAGCTATATATGATTTTAATAATTCTCTAACACTTTCTCATTAACTTAAACTGTTGCTGACCAGTTTTGAGCACTTCCAGTTCTGAGAAATATGCTGAATATGATTGGCTAAGGTGCTCAACCTTGGGGAGTAGAAACTGGACTTCAGAGGTTGAGTCATGGTGTGGACACCCTGTGGTCAACACCCAGGCCCTCCTATCTAAGTCTGCCCCTTGTGTAGGGGGCCATCTCCCCTTGTCTAAGTAATTTCTCACCTTGTCTATACTTCCTTGCTAACTGGCATGGAGTGACTTTCATACAGTGGCATTGTTGGGACACTGAGGACATAGATTTTCCTTTTCTTCAATCACAGGCCATTAGGGGAAGAGCTTCAGAACACCAGTTGTCTGGGTCTGCAGAGTTTCTTCTGTCAGGTCTGGGGCCAGGTCACCATGAATGCCTTAGATGGCACTTGTGCCAAACAGCATGTTCTCTGTTTGGGAGGCATCTATCTCAGGAAGGATGTCTTATAACTTCCTTGGTAGGGTTCCTCTGTCTTGATCATCCTTCAGGAAATTCACTCACATGTCAGTCACTGTTATTTTCCCCAGGAAGGTTTTTAGATGTCAGCTCTCTGTTCTGCCTCTCTCCTATTTCTGATTGTGATTCACAGAGGGCCCGTAGGCCCCTTTTGTTACTTCAAATCCTGTCAAAAGTATCTCTCCACTGAGTGCCCCATTTTCACATCCATATGATGCCACCTAGCTTTGAAACCCAAAAGAATCTCTGCCCCTCTCCATCCCTGCCCCATTAGGGATTTTGCTCCTTTACATGTTCTTGATCATGAGGATTCCCTTACTGACTTACCTGGGAAACTCCTAGTCCTTCTAATCAATCTCTGGCACAGAGTTAGACTTTAGTCTAAAAAAGCATCTGATGAGTAGCTACCTTAATGGCTGTGACAATGAAGATGGAGGCCAATACATGCTGAATGTGCTTGTTTAAAGAGATACCTCTCTTTATCATCAGTCTCAGAGACTATCACTGGTTTGAGGATGATGCCCCACAGCCCAGCCAGCAGTTTGGGCTTCTCTCTTTGGGCCTCCCATGTTTCTAGCCTTTCCTTGGGCTTCTTCTCAAAACTGCCTTGTTACCACCCCTGGTCGGCAGTTACCCACCCCTCCTGCTCTCTCTCCCTCTAGGGTGCACTGCAGGTTGTGCCTGCCATTCAGCGTGTATTGGCCTCCACCTTCATTGTCACAGCCATTAAGGTAGCTAGCTACTCATCAGATGTTTTTTTTTTTTAGACTAAAGTCTAGCTCTGTTACTGTAGGCTGTAGTGCCTTGGCATCAGCTTAGCTCACAGCAACCTCAATCCATCCCCCTGCCTCAGCCTCCCAAGTAGCTGGTGACTATAGGTGCCTGCCACAACACCTGGCTAGTTTTTCTACTTTTAGTAGAGACTGGGTCTCATTCTTGTTCAGGCTGGTCTAGATATCCAGAGCTCAAGTGGTCCTCCCACCTCAGGCTCTGAGTGCTAGAACTGCATCTTGTGTGGCCTGAAAAAATATCTTGACCATGTCACTGTTGTGCCTATACACAGTGGCTTCCTGTTGCACCTTGAAGAAAGCCTGGACTCATTGCTCCAAGTGACCCACATTCTACCCCTCCTCCCTCTTAGCACACTGGCCATACCTGTTTACCACCACTCCCTGGCTTTGTTTCTCTTCCTCAAACTTGCGAATTGGTTCCTGTTCAGAGCCCTTGCTCTTGCTGCTTCCTCTGCTGGGAGCACTCTTCTTCCATATCATCATTCAGAAGCTTCCAGATTTCACATTTTGCTTCGATGTTGCCTTCTCAGAGAGGCCTTCCTTGATTCCTGGCTCCCTGGCTACAGTCACAGTTTCCCATCATCCTCCTGATTGACTTCCCTCAGACATGTACCCTCATGTGCTTGTTTCCTTGTCATCTTTATGTCTTTACTAGAAGGGATAGGCCCTGCCTTTGTCCTTGCTGCTGAGTTCAGATGCTCAGATGAAAGATGGACTGTGGACTCATGCCTGTAATCCCAGCACTTGGAGGATTTGGGAGATTTACTTGAGCCCAGGAGTTCCAGCCTGGGTGACAGAGCGAGACCCAGTCTGTGTTTAAAAAGAAAGAAAAAGTTGGAAGCCATGTGCAGTGGCTCATGCCTATAATTCTAGCACTCTGGGAGGCCGAGGCATTGGGATCACCAGAGCTTAGGAGTTTGAGACCAGCCTGAGCTAGAATAAGACCCTGTCTCTAAAAATATCCAAGGCTATTTTTAGGTGTTGTTTTATATAAGGCATTGTGTTGGGCACCTGTAGTCCCAGCTACCTGAGAGGCTGAGGCAAGAGGAGCTCTTAAGCTGAAGAGTTGGAGGTTGCTGTGAGCTGTGATGCTACGGCACTCTACTGAGGGCAACAAAGTAAGACTCTGTCTCAAAAAAAAAGAAAAAATAGTTGGACTGAGAACCATATAGAAAAGGTGGTAGAGAATATCAGGGGAAGGAGAGGTTATCTCCAGTTTGGTGGGTCATAAAATCTTTCGCACACTGAGCCAAGGCATTGGGGCAGTCCTTGAGGCCAGATAGAGTAAAGAGTAACCACACATCAGCTATCCATTTTGGATCTGTTACTGCCCCTTCTTCCCTTATCTTGGTGTGGTTTGTTCTCACCTGGTTCACACATCACCTATTTCACACATCATCTGTTTCACTTCCTGACAGTACCTTAGTATTAGGTGTGTGTCTTTCTGCCACTAGAACAGTGTTTCTCAACCTGTGGGTCGCAACCCCTTTGTAACAATGAAAATACATCCTGCATAGCAGATATTTACATTACAATTCATAACACTAGCAAAATTAAAGTTATGAAGTAGCAACGAAAATAATTTTATGGTTGGAGGTCACCACAACATGAGGAACTATATGTATTAAAGAGTTGCAACATTAGGAAGGTTGAGAACCACTACACTAGATAGTAAGTTCCACAGGCAGGACATTTTAGGAATTGTTCATAACTGCATTCCCATCATCTGTAAGCAGTAGGTACTCGATACTTATTTTCAGAATGAATGATTGAATTATAAGATATCTGACACTCCATATCCTTTCTCGATATACACAGGCCATATTTTTTCATATTGATTTGAAAGAAGGGTAGAAGTCTAAACATGTGGGAGTGAACCTTTGAACTGAGAACATTCTTAAATTTAGCCTGGAGCCTGAAGGGAGGACAAATTTGGAGGGGTAGGGACACATACCAAGCTCAGCTCTTACAGCTGCTGAATCTGTTTTTGCAAGAGCTGGGTCCAAGTGCCGTCTTCTCTTCCGTGTTGCTTGTGCCAGTTCCCTGTCTTGGCAGCCAGGGCTTTGTGACCATCAAGAGGAATGGGCTTCTTTGCTCCAGAGAGCTCCACCAGCTCAGGCAGGGTACCTCCTCCCAAATCTTTCTCTGTTTCTCTGTGTTCTTTAGTTCCTTTTCTCTGAGTGTTTCTTCCTAAGTGTTTCTCACCTTCTGTAGTCTCTTCTGTTAGGCAATGTGGCTCCTGGTGGCTGTTTGCTCCTTACCAGTCAGTTCTACCAGGCCTGGATCTCATTTCTTCTGTCTTTGTCAGGCATAGGCATCTCCGCCTAGTGGCACTGGCAGAGTTCTGGGGAAGCCAAGTCAAAGCTGATTTAGTTCCCATCTGACAATTCCTGGAGCTTCTTTTCTAGCCAGCCTTCATAGGCCTGTGGCTAGGAGCCTGGGAAGACAAGAGACACTGGACTGGGTTTTGCCTTTGAGTTGCAGATTGATGGGTCAGTGTCCTTACCCCATGTCCACGGGCACTGCTGGGGCAATTGACCTGACACAGGGTTGGTGCCTACAGCTGGCCAAATGTGTACTACAGGGGAGCTCACACATAGCTTATCTCTAGGAGATCACCTGTCCCCCAGTGTTTTCCTTTAGTAACCTTTGTTCTGGTCAAGGGACTGTCTATGGCTTAAATTTAATAAAATTTACTTTATTTCCTGAATACCTCTGGGGCAGAAGTTTAAAAGACAGAATCTTTTCCAGAGTTCTTTCTTCTGGCATGAAGAAAGACATGGTCTAGGTGTTACCAGATAAGTCTAGGTGTCAGCCAGATAAGGCTCCAATAGAAAGAAAATTTGCCCACAGACATGTGAAGGCTTTGTTGGGCCCTGGTTTTAGATGTGTGACTTCATGTGGTATCACTGCCCCTGTGGTTTCTGATGCTGAACATGACCTGTAAAGTCCGCATTTGCCAGAGAGTCTCAAGCCCAAAAGAACCTGCTTCCCCGCTGGCCAGGCTTCACAGGAGCCAGGGCAGACATGCACAGGAGTGGTGGACGGCCTTCCACAAAGCCACGTGTATGCATGTCTCCTTGTTTCTCTTTTTGGGTGTGCTGGGTTCAGAAATACGCAGGTATGTTTTGTCTTTTCAATCCATATACCTGGCAGCTGGGAGAGAATTTCACACATGAATGTGTAGAACGTCATTGTACGAACTCCACACGTCATCACCTTGCAGTAAATGTATCCTCCTGTCTCCCCCCACATTAAGCCGTATGGTAAGGTAGGCCAGCATCAGCCCAGCTTCAGAGCTGAGAAGACTACACAGCAGCCTGCTGAGAACCTGCCTCTCAGGTCAGAACAGAGGAGGAGGGGGCCTGTGTTGGCCCACCATGTCACCCTCAGGCCAAGCTTTTGGTGTGTGGTGGGAAGCCATGGGAGGTGTGAAGGCAGGTGGAAACTAAGGTGTTGGCTATAGAGCCCACTTGTGTTTTGTTTCAGGGCTCTCTTCACCTATGAAGGCAACAGCAATGACATCCGAGTGGCTGGCACTGGGGGTGAGTACAATCCCAAAAGGGTTATTGGGCAACAAGAGACAGAAGGGTGAAGTGTACAAAGAAGAGAGGTTTCTCACTGTCGGCAGTCTATCTTTGCGTAGCAGTCTATCTTGCATAGTACGTCAGCATTGCAGTGGGAGGAAGGGAACTAGCACACCTGCATGTGACTCAACTGTAGTGACACCTTCCCCCATTGAGGGTGGGGAGTAGGGCCAAGCCTTCCTCCTGCAGACCCACCCTGACTTCCATGATTGAGACGTGGACCGGCAGCAGCAAGACCGGTGTCCAGAGCCCTTGGCCACCTCAGTGCATTAAACAGCATGAGGCCTCCAGTACTCACTGGCCACTTCTGGTGGGCGTTGGGTTCCAGATGTTTATAAATAAAAACATTCCTCCTTGGTGGGGAAGAGAATAGCAGAGAGAGAAAGGAGGGAGGGGGGTGGGATCTTGGTATGTGCCACACCTTTTGGGGGCAGGACACGATTGTAAGAGGGACTTTACCTAACAAATGCAATCAGTGAAACCTGGTTTCTTGTACCCTCAATGAATCCTCAACAATAAATTAAAAAAAAAAAAATTCCTCCTTGACTTTCTCCACTGAAGGTGGAGGGCGGCACTTTATCTGTGTCTGGTTTGGGAGAGCTGAGAGGGAGAATAGGCTGGCCCTCTCCAGCTCATTGGCAAACTGTACTGGGCAGCGGGAAGGATGCCAGCCCCAGGGCTGGTGCTGGCAGAGAAGGTCTGCAGACATGTCCTCCTCTGCCTCTGTCCTGTTCTGGCCATGGACCAAGTATATGAAGAGACCCACCCTCACTAGGAAGAAGCGTTGACAGCACAGTCATAAGGAAGACATCTATGGATTGTCTCTACAGTTACAGACAGTTTATTGGGCAGAGGCTGTCATAGTTGGCTGGGCCATACACAGTGGGTGTGACCCATGGCCTCCCAGCTGATATCCCAACTGCTTTGCATCCTCAAGGCCAGTTTGCTCCTCCTCTGGAGTTCACATGGCCCCTGCCTCTGTCCTGAGCTAGACAAGGCTTCATTGTTTGGTGAGTGTTTGGAGTCACCTTGGTGACTATTGGTAGAAAGCCCCTTCCTCTCACAGCCTCTTCTCCCTGAAGCATCTTCTTTCTAGAAGTATGGCCATTGAACTAGACTCACATGATATGCCTGCCAACTGGCAGTTGCAGGGATCAACCCAAGTTTCCTATTGTTATCCCCAATGGCACAAAACAGGACTATGCTGCAAATGTAGCAGGTTGCTATCTCCAGAGTGGGGACTCTGAACTGTCCCAAGTTCTGTGGAACCCTATAGCTAAAAATCTGATCATTTCCTCCTCTCTATAACCTGGGAAAGATGGGAGCTGTGTCTTAGTGTCAGGGGAGAATGGTTTAAGGCATCCTGGAGCCCCATCAGACCATCCTCTGTCTAAGAGTTTATGAGGTCTGAGCCAGTTATGTAGATGTGGGATGCTCCATCTGGTCCAACTATCTGGGTGGTCCTGGAGTCTAAATGAGCACAGGCAAGGTAGGGGTGACTCAACAGGCTTTACCATAATGTGGCCCTTTGTGGAGTCCAGGCAACAATAAAATTGATGTAGAAATCTACCATTTGGAAACCTGGTGGCTAATTTGCAGTGGAAGTGAGGTTTTTAATTTCCAGAATTACCTGTGGGTTTAGAGGAATGGTTTTTAAACTAGCATGGGTAAAAATACCACCTGAGTGCTTGCCAGAATTGCAGACTCCTGGGTTTCACCCAGCTCTCATATGTCAGCTTAGTGGGGGTGGGGGACAGAAATCTGACTTTAAACATGTCCCCAGGAAGATGCTGATGCAAGCAGGGATCAGAAGCCTTGTTTAGGGTAGCCTGAGTTCAGTTCCTGGTTGAATAGGGGCCAGGACCAGCAGGAAGTCCTGGGGCTGCCTCTGACCTTCCTCATGACCCTGTTGCAGAGGGTGGCCTGGATGAGATGGTGGAGGAGCTCAACAGTGGGAAGGTGATGTACGGCTTCTGCAGAGTAAAGGACCCTAACTCCGGCCTGCCCAAGTTTGTCCTCATCAATTGGGTATGTGGAACTTGTTTCATCTAGATGTGACCCAGGAAACAACCATTGTCTTCTTTGCTGCTCTGACTTGACATCAGGAATGGAGTGTTACAAGCACAACTTAGTAGATGAACAGAACAGTTCAGAGCTGGTGAATGAACAGAATAGTCAGGTAATTCATTCCAGCCCCCAAAATAACTGTCTTTGCTATGCAGAATTAACCTTCCAAACATAGAATTATTCCTGCACAGTGGAATAAACACGGTGATGAGAACTTCTTGTCCTATCCCCTTCATGGCAGTTGTTCTGATGGAGTAGAGGACCTGAGGGAGTATGCAGGAGTCTGGAGTGGGGGCATAGGGGCTCCAGCAGAACAGAACTCCTTAGTGGGGACCAGGAAAACTCAGGAAAAATCCATCACAGTGGAAACCAGTAGCCGTCTTGCCCAGGAAATGTTCACAAGCCCCTTGGGGGTATGGGAACTAACCTCACCTGTGTGACACAGAAGAATGGCTTCTGCTGGCTCGGCGCCTGTGGCTCAAGTGGTTAAGGCACCAGCCACATACACCTGAGGTGGTGGGTTCGAATCCAGCCCGGGCCACCAAACAGCGACGGCTGCAACCAAAAAAATAGCTGGGCATTGTGGCAGGCGCCTGTGGTGCCAGCTACTTGGGAGGCTAAGGCAGGAGACTCGCTTGAGCCCGGGAGTTGGAGGTTGTGGTGAGCTGTGATGCCACGGCACTCTACCCAGGGGAATAGCTTGAGGCTCTCTCTCAAAAAAAAGAAAAAGAATGGCTTCTGCTTTGGGGGTTGCTATATTCTCTTTTCTGGAGCATATGGAAGCCTCTGGGTCCCCAAGAGAGGGAAGTGGCTTTGGTCATGCTGGATGTGCTTGTGTTGCAGACAGGTGAGGGTGTGAACGATGTGCGGAAGGGAGCCTGCGCCAGCCACGTCAGCACAATGGCCAACTTCCTGAAGGTGAGGCTGGTCAAGACCTGTTCCACTCTGAACAGCCCCCCTAGGCTGGAACTCCCCCAGGTTCCTGGGTGTGAGCAAGTGGGAAGCAAAGCTGGAGTCAGACGTGCTCACAACTAAAGCTCTGTCTGGCTTTTAGGGCATGACCATAGGATGCTCTACTCTCAGCAAGTGCAAGGGAGGTCAGTGCGTGGCAGGTGCCACCTGCAGGCTGGCCTCAGCTGGGTGGAATGAAGGACTGTACTACAGCTGGTCCATTGGGAAGGCTGGGCCCTGGGTTCCATTTTGCTTCATGATCACTCTAAACAGCTTACTTGTCAGATGACCTTTTGCATTTCTTTGGTTAGTGGCAAAGAGACTCAGGACTTTGATTTCTAGTTCTGCTAACATTTCTTTAGAAATACCTCAGTTTCTCCATTTAGGAGCTGAAAAAGATTTCAAGCTTCGTTGGGTATACAGGTTGAGTATCCTTTATCTCAAAAGCTTAGGACCAGAGTGTTTTGGATTTGGATTTTTTTTAATATTTGCATTATATACTTAATAGGTTAGCATCCCTAATCCAAAAATTCAAAACCAGAATACTCCACAAACTTTTTGAGTGCTGACATGATGCTCAAAGAAAATTCTCATTGGAAGATTTAAGATTTCACATTTTAGGGTTAAGGATATGCAACTTGTATAGTAACAGTGAATAAGGTCATGGATCTGGCTTCTTAGGAAAAAATCAATGGCTCTCCTTTTGTAGAAAATGTGCTTTTTTCCAGAAGGCATTTTCCACCCAGTATTTTTAAAAATTGATATAAAATAGCTGTACATATTTTTGAGGTACATGTGGTATTCTGATACCTATATGCAGTGTATAATAAAGCAATGTAATTAGCATATCATCTCAAATATTTTTCTTTTCTTTGTGTCCAGAACATTACAGTATTTCTCTATTAGTATTTTGAAATACACAAACCATTGCTAATTATAATTTCCCTGTTGTACTTTCAAATACTACAACTTATTTTATGTAATTGTATTTTCGTATCTATTAATCAGCTTCTCTTCTTTCTTTCCAATCTCTTTCCCGACCTCAGGTAACCACCATTCTATTCTCTACCTCCATGAGATCCACTTTTTTTAGCTTCCACATATAAGTGAGAACATGTGATATTTGTCTTTCTCTCTCTCTCTCTCTCTCTTTTTTTAAATTTATCTTTCTTTGCCTGGCTATTTCACTTAACATAATGACCCCCAGTTCCATCCATGTTATTGCAAAGGACAAGATTTCATTCATTATTATGGCCAAATAGTATTCTATTGTGTATATACACCACATTTTCTTTACCCATTCATCCATTGATGGATACTTTGGTTAATTTCATATCTTGGCTGTTGTGAATAATGAATGTTCAGTAAACATGGGCATGCAGACATCTATCTCTTTGATATGCTGATTTCTTTTCTTTTGGATATATACCCACTGTGATTGCTGGATCATACGGCAGTTCTATTTTTAGTTTTCTGAGGAACCTTCATACTGTTTTCCATAATGGCTATACTAATTTCCATTCCCATTAACAGCATGTAAAAGTTCCCCTAGCAGGGCATAGTGGCTCACACATGTACTCCTGGCACTCAGAAGGCTGAGGCAGGAAAATTTCTTGAGGCCTGGCTCACACCCATAGTACAGTGGTTATGACGCCAGCCACGTACACTGAGGGTGGTGGGTTTGAACCTTGCTTGGGCCAGCTAAACAACAAGGACAACTGCAACAAAAAAATAGCCAGGCATTGTGGCAGGTGCCTGTAGTCCCACCTACTTGGGAGGCTGAGGCAAGAGAATTGCTTAAACCCAAGAGTTTGAGGTTGCTATGAGCTGTGACTCCACGGCACTCACATAGGGAGACTCTGTCTCAAAAAAAAAAAAAAATTGCTTGTGGTCAAGAGTCTGAGGTTGCCGTAAGCTATGATGATGCCACTGCCACCAGTGCACTCTAGCCTAGGCAAAAGAGTGAGACCTGTCTCAAAAAAAAAAAAAA